AGGTGTCTGAGGAGGCGGAGTTTCGGTTGTTATCGGGGGAGGATCTGGAGACGTTGATTTCGTGCGAGGAGCTTGCAGTGGATTGTGAAGAACAAGTAAGTTGTACTTAGACCCAAGTGGTTCTTCACTGAACCTGAGTCCGTTATGGATGCTTTCAGATTAGGTCTTGAATAGTACATACACTAACCACACCGTTCGGCATCATTTTCTAAACAGATTTTTAAAGCTGTAGTGGAGTGGGCCAAGTTTGATCCTTCCCACCGCTCCACCCGGCTGTGGCCCCTCCTGAAATACGTGGCCCTCCCTCTGCTCTCACCGGAATACCTGCTGGACCAGATCGAGACTGAACCAATCCTGTCTCATGAGGGCACTGTTGTGTCTCATCTCGTCCAGCGGTTGAAGATCGTCGATACAGCGGACAGCTCAGTGAGAGTCAGAGGACACAGGAAGAAGATGAAAGTAAGGAAATTTGTCAAATCACAAATGCATTCACAAGTCTGTTACACAAGTAAATCACAAGTCTATTCACAAGTTTGGTCAGAAACAGTAGCAAAGTACATGTAATGCCTTTGCCACATATTAATCCAGTACTTTGTGTCTTGGCTTAGGACTGGATATTTGCAATGGCCGTTTGACAGACTTATGAGGACATGTAAGGATTTGAGACGCACACAACTACAACCTTAAAATGTTAAAGCTGTTAGTTTCATACACTTTGGAGGATGTGGGCAGATGTAGGAAGGTTCCTAGCTGATAGTCTCAGGAGTGAAGGTCAAACGTCATTTCTTTGTTAAACCGCCTGCAGGTTCTTCTAGCCATAGGAGGCGAGTGTCAAGGTTGCTCCCTGGATTCTTGCCATATCTTCTCAGAAGCTAGCGGTAAGTGGTCCTCCACGGCATCCCGGCCTGGCCAATCATCAGACAGGAAGGAGGAGATTCACATTGCTTCAATGAAATCAGGGAGATCAGCGTTTGGAGTAGCTTGCGATGGCAATCAAGTCTATGTGGCAGGTGTGTAAAAGGCACTCTCATCTGTTCTTACTCAAAGCTTGGTGGTGTTTTCCAAACCATGGCTTTATCTTCAGCTTGGACTCCAGGATCAGGCAGAAGCCTTTAATGTCCTAAAAAATGGAAATGTCCTATAAACTTTGACCTCATCATATAATAGAATTTGATTTACAAAAGCACAGAGACATATCTTGAGCCCGAGTCCTCCAAGTAAGGAGCCTTAAACCTAAAGCCAAAACTGGAAAGGAAGCCAATATTTGTAAAATAATCTACGGCTGTATTGTTTCTTCGACTAGGTGGTCTGTCCACATCATCCGATTCCATCGGCACCATCGAGCAGTACAGCATCATGGACAACTCCTGGCAGGAGGTAGCCACGACGAAGGAGACACGGCATGGATGCCAGGCTTGTCTGCTCAACAACAAAGGTCTACGTCTTCGGTGGGCATAACGGTCAGGGTTACTCCCAGAGTATGGAGTGCTTCTGCCCAGTCAGTGGAGCCTGTGATTATGTCACCATACTGCCTCAGGCAAAGGCTTTCATGGGATCAGTGGTGCTAGCTGGATGCATTTACGTCATTGGTGGTACAGGTAAGTTTTTTTCGCGCTGCATATTCAGCAATTGCCTCAATGACAATCTGTATTTCTCTCAAAACTATAACCTGGTTTTTCAGTTTTGGGGATTTTTTGGGGGCACAATGAATATGGACTTTGTACTCTGAACAGTGATAAAGAAAAGTGAATGAAGTTGTTCGCCCAGACGCCCAAGCAAAGATGAGCTTGCTCATATTCAGATCCAAATAAGATCCAAAATAAGTCATGAATACATCAAGGCAAAACCTAATTGGGCAAAACCTAGTTTGATTTACATCACCCCGACGCAAAAATTTCATCTTATGAATAGTCAATGCGGTACCCGCTGCTATATACATCATATTTGAACCAGCCAACATATCCCTCAAGCTCGGTGGTCGAGTGGTAAGACGTCTGCACTAGAAAGCAGGAGGTCATGGGTTCGAGTCCCCCAACTTTCACTCGGGAGGTAACACACCGAGTATACAGTGTTTATACGTCAGTGAAGGGCAAAAACTAATTGGATTCATGAATACTTCATACGTTCAAATCAATGCGTGCATGGAGTTTATCCTGCATCTCTTGTAAGTTGTCATACAGCACCTTCCACTCTTCCTTCACGAAGACAGCAGAGCAAGACAAAACATGTCTCATTTTGATCGAGTTCATAGAGTTTCATACACATGAAATACAGATATAAAGTTTACAAATTTTTCACTTATAGGGGCCAACGTCTTCCACAATAGTGTCCATTGCTACGACCCAGTCGGTGACCGCTGGAACACGGTCGCGCCATTGCTAGAGCCCCGTGCCTACGTGGGTGCCGTCGTTATGAATGGCTGCATCTATGCGATCGGTGGCTTCAACGGGAAATGGCTCCAAACGGTGGAGAAATACGTCCCCGCCGAGAATCGTTGGGTCAGTGTTGCCTCAATGAAACACGAACGCAGCAGCTTCGGTGTCAGTGTATCGGACGGTTGTATGTACATCGCTGGGGGTTTCGACGGCAAACGATCTCTAAGCACAGTGGCTAAATACGACCCAGCCACGGACAGTTGGACATCGGTCACCAGCATTCCTGGTAGCTGGTATGGCATGCGATTAGCTTCCCTCGATTGGTAATCTTGGTCAAAGAGTGACGACTACCAGTATTACTGAGTGGACAGGATAACATCTGACAGTTTTACTAAATGTGCTAAGATTCCTCCAATCCATAAGGCAGACAAAGATGCCAAAAACACTTCTTAATATTGCTCACCTCTGCCATGTATGTCTCAAGTACAGTCGAATCTCGTTAGTACAAACTCTGTTAATACAAAATTCTGGTTATAACAAACATAAAGCCTTTAGTCCCGACTGTGCATTTATGTGCACAATGAATGGGACTGATGTTCCTCTTAATACAAAATTCTGATATAACAAACAATTTGGCTAGGTCCGAACGAGTTTGTATTAACGAGACTCGACTGTATTATAAAGACAAAGCCTTGTTTGAGGTGATAACATTTGCCCAGTATTTTCCCCTGTTTTCCTAAGTGTTTATTCCGAGCCCCCTCTAAACAGCTCAAAGTCAGGAAGAATAAAAAATACACCAATGGATGAATGCTTCACTGTTGGATTTTTGAAATTCTGGAAGGTTCCTTGTAACAGGTAACGGTTGGGGGGGGATTATTAATAAAAGAACCCTTCAGATAGATCAACAAGAGTTGCTTTAAGCGCAATGGTGGAAGCATTTTGTCAGTTAATGTCCAAAAGTAGCTGTCATTGAGTTATTTTGTTAATATGCATTTAAATGTCAATTTTTTAAATGTTTATATTTGTTAACCATTTTGTACTTCTTATTTATGGACAACAACCTTTAAACATCCGAAGTTTCAAATAGGTCATATCAGAATGTGTTTGTCAGAAAAAAATCTTTTGTGGAAATATTTCCCTTTTTGTTAACTCAATAACATCTACGGATTCCATTTTACACATTCCATTTTTAGGATAATACTGCTAGTAAATAATAAAAAAAAACTGTTATATGGACGAGTCAAATATCTAAAAAAACATCTACCTCATCTTAATATTAAAGTTTTACTTTTTTTCATGTTTTTTTCATCTTAATATTGTCTGAATAAAATTGTGGAGATAATAAATTAAAAGGATTTTTACTGCAAAATGGAAGTCTGTGTTCAATGACATCTCTGTTTAATAGTCACTCAATATTCTTAAACAACACGTGCCATTGCATGGCGGGAGGATCCGTAACCAAATTTTCAGGGGGCGGAGCAACCGGTCCCTTCAAATTCGAACAAGAGAGGGCGCTCTTTGTGGTAAAACAAGAGTCGGTGTTTTGATTTAATAACCTTGTGTTCACAAAGCCAAATAGTGACTCAAAAATAAGAAATCATGCTGCGCGCGCAGAGGTGATTCAATCAATGGCTTTAAATGGGAGCTAGCTACCGGTCAACGTACTTTTTTAGGGGGGGGGGGGGACAGTCTAACTGACACGAGGACTCACATGGCCATTGACTCCGAGGACAATGAGGAAGAGGGAAAAGCGCGGGAAGCTGTTAATATACTCACAATTTGTGTATGTCAAAATAATGAAATGGTTATCAAAGGAATCATGTTAGTGCGTCGTTTTTTAAAAGTTGGTCATTTTACACGTGGTACTTTTAATTATATTTTAGAATAACTGTTGCTTTTAGATTCTGCATATAGGTCTACATCGGCTCAAGGATAGTTAAAGATATAGTCCATCATTTGTAATTTGTGCATTTGTTCGTTTGAAGCAACAAAAGTGTTCAAAATCTAATGAAGGATACTGAACAACTAACTAACCTGATGAAGTTTCAGCTCAGCTTCAGCTGTATATTCCGAGAAAAACAGCATTCTAGGATCTCGATTTCAAATCAAAAGTTGCTGAATCAAGTTTTGAATTGGGCCTGAATTCAGCGTCCGAGACGCGTTCTCACTGAGCCGATTGCAGCTATACGCGATGTCGCGCACTGATCCGCCGAATTATAGCAACCGCGCGTGCGTGTGCGTCGTGCTAATGCTTGCGCGCGCTTCGCCGAATAACAAAACGAACTACTAATTTAAATTTTCCTACGGTGCGTCTTAAGACGCACCGTTGGAAAGGCCTTCTTTCGTTGATTACTTCAAAATGACAGCTTGCCAGAAAGAATAATTTCACAGGGAGTTTAGTCCCCTTTCTATCTTACAACCAAGTATGTTTTTTAACAATAATTACGCCAGTTACTTTTCGGATGGCTGCAAATGATGGACTATAGCTTTAAGTAAAAGACGAAACCTTTCAGTAAATTCCAAATACATAACCTACCGGCGGGGGTATTTTGTTTGGGCTCGAGGCAAATCCTGGACAAAAATAATTCTTTTATTCTGACCAAAATTTTTTTTGGAAGGGAAGACATAAAAACTGAGCCGCGCATCACCTGTCCATGCAGACATGGCACGCGAGAGAAGACATCGTAATGGGCCACAATCTACTGCGTTGCCACGGGTAACAGAGATGACGATCTTCGGAGTGGGGGATTATCTGCTGCCTCCCTTCTCTCTGGACACTTGCAACTCGTCGCCATCAGAGGAGGGAGTGTGCATGTCCGGTTCGTGTGCAACTGTTAAAAGCTGAGGTAAGTAATGACTATAGATTTCTTATATCTGTACTTCATGATGTGCTCTGTTCAGAGTTTTGACTATCTGCGGACAATCACCTGCATGCCAAAATGATTTTACTTGTGGTTCAGATGAAACGAGTATTTTCTCCTTGCATGTAATCTCGACTTTGTGCGTGTGACATTTTTTTGTCTTTGTATAAGTTTGTAACTTTCCCCTTGTGCTGGACTTCATTCTGGTTGTTCAGTCCATTGTTGGGTAACTTTGCCGAACGGTTTCACCACTCCTTTCAAGAGGATTGTTTGATAGTCTTAAGTATCGAGAGGTGTGGCCCGACATTAAGATCTGCTGTGCGTTTGGTTTGTGGCCCTTAACATAAAAAGCGGGTGGCGTCAGAGAGCAGCAACTTTTGCAGACAATTCTTTTCAGGAAAAGTGAAGAGAGAGCTTCCGTAATTTATAAGAAGGAATTTTATTCTATACTGGGTTTTCAACCCAAGTGTTTGTAAAAAAAACACAGACGAATCGTCACAAACCGTTTTGCAGTGAACTTACCGTCATCGGAGCTGAAATTCATTACTCAACAACATTTGACAAAGAATACACGGAGAGCTAGGCCTATACATGTATATAGAGATGACAATGAAAGAAATTCTTTAAAAAAAAGAAGGTTGCCTCCTGGCAGGAGGCAACCGACTGACGTACAGATTATTTTATAATCTTTCTTAAGGCAAACCTGAAGTAGAACTTCATCAAAAGCGAATAATGAGGTTTGGCAGTGCCGAGGCCATGCAGTTGAGTATTTCAACTGCGCATGTGCATATTATGATGTGATTTATTTCTACTCATTCCAATGTTGTTTTCTTCTACTTTTGTTCATTACAAAAATGCTTTTATTTTTGGTTGAAGTTGAAAAAGTGATTATATTTTGGGTTGATTTTGTATTGACAGACAGTTCTGAGACAGTTCCCCAACTGACACTCCTGGCTAGTTGAGTTTAGGGACGAACATTTTGAGGCCACTCGTTCAAACAAAGCTGATTCCCACCCCACCCCACCCCTCACTCCGCCCAAAACCCGGTGACCCCACATCCCTGTCAGTTACACAAGACAAAATACTCTCGATGTTTTATATATAAAAAAAGAACGCCACACATTGCAACCCCCCCCCCCCTCATTAAATCCCTAATGATACAAAGTCTAGACTGGATTAGTTTCAATCCATTGAGCGCTGGATGGCTTTGCGTTGGCCACAGCCACTGCGCTTTGATTAGCTTCCGTAGCGTCTAGATGACTGCAGTACCGCGAACTGATTAAGTAACTCTGCACGTTGCCCGGTCGCTTATTTTGTTAATTTTTATTTCAAAAATGTTACAAGTTCAATGTAAACGTTCACAGTGAGAGCATAATTTGGTCCGATAAATAAAGCTTTTGGAGATCAAATACATTAAGTTTTTTATTCCTTACTATAGCTTGATTCGTGGATGCGTTTTGTACAATTCAAAGATAATCGTGAGATTTTTGTTCATAGCTATATAGTTTTTAATATTTTTAAAGTTCCGTGCTGACTTTTACTCGACTTTTACTACGTTAATTTTCCGAACATGTGTGGAAGCAGAAAACAATGATGATTTGGGCTAAATAATTGGGATCGCAAATCAGTGAAGACGCACTCCAGACACCACGCATTGGTGTTTCTCATTTTAGAAAAAAATAATAATGCAATAGTTCTAGTTTTTCTTCTTTTTTTAACAGACAAAACTCGCCCTTGTCAGCAAAGCGCCGTAGGCGCTACGGCTGACCGATTTCGGACCAGCAGCACACAATGATGACGGGCATATTAGCATATTCATTAGCGTCACTCGGCGTGACATGGTGTGGGTCTCGGTATCGACTAATGGAAGCCGGCAAAAAGGGTGATATTGGTTAATTAACAACTATCGTGAAGGAGGCTTTTATGCAATTGTTTACTGCACGCCGTAATGGATAGGAACCTCATTAATATTCGTGAGGCTTGAAAAGATTGATAGATATTCCGCATGCCAGTGTTACAAGTTTCAAAATTGCACGAAGCCAGGCCCATTTTTCTAATTTCAACGAAAAGTAATGGACATATCACAACGATACTTGGTTCATTATAGAGGAAATAAATCCTCAAAGTTGCATGAAGATACGGTCTTCCAATTACGGGAGAAATTGATTTTCAAAGATTTCGCCCGCCAACGTAAACATGTCTGTGGTTTCATTCACGTAACCATATGGCTGGAGTGCACTAATACACACGTTCATGCAAGCAGCTCAGTGAAAAAGAAAACGGATCTCCAATCTCGCGGCTGATGAAAACCCTAACTCCCAAGAGGGTGTGCAAAATCGTATTAAATTGGAGGATTCAGGATTGTTAAGATATCCCTGAATCCTCCAATTTTAATAAGATTTGTTGATTAGATGCTTCAAGTCTATGGTCTTCTTAAGTGTTTGACTGCTTCCTTTCATCCAACACCCCCCCCCCTACCGCTCCCCTCCCTTCCCCTATGAATGTGTACCAGCCAACCCCCTTTGGTAAATCCTGGACTCGTCATTGGTGCCCGTCGTTGGTTCTTCTCTCAGTAGTCCCATTTGTTTTGGCTGAATGTTACCTCAATTATAAACCTTGCTTCGAAAATCCTGATTACCATGAACAGATGTCCCAATAATAATGAGGCACGAAAACAACAACACTGTTGTGAATGAATTATGAAATGCCCAGGCTGTTATTAGAGTGTCCGGGCTAGTACACGCGCGCGCCATAACTAGCGCCCATTGGTGGCCGTGGATACTGCACTATGGGAAGAACGCATGGTTCAGTTGAGAGACGTCATGCGAAATCATGTAATTTCATGACTAATTCATTAGTCTTGTACAACAAGATGTGTACCTAATGAGGCTATAAGTTCGAAGTTTTAATCACCAAAACTCAGGTGATGGGTTGAAGTGTGAGTCACAAGGTCAGTGATGTAAGGGGGATCTTGTAGATTATGCATCATGCCCACGGTGTTGCATTTCACGGGAGATTGTTGGTCTAAGATTGTCCATACTAATTACCATACAATCTTGAGCTTTTCTTTTAAGTTGATACGCATACCTGATGCAGTGCCCTGGGGCGGCGAAGTCTTGGTGATCGTATCTGAGGATGACGACAGTTGTTTTTTCCATCTTTCCTTATCTCCATCTTTCTTTATCTCTAAAGCAACAAATTCATCTTTCTGTACAGTACAGGAACGGCATTTTATAAAGCATTTTTGCTTTTTTCAAAGCTAACAAAAATGGGAAGAAACCATACCGCAGAAAAACACCTTGCATAACCAAATTTGGCCAATTTGTCTCAACTTCAGCCGAAATTGCCGCATCTTGCCATTTAATATCTTTTTTGTTTTCGACGTGTATTCTCTGAAGTTTTCCGCCTTTTTTTGAGGGTGGGGAGATAATGATGTCAATACATTATACTGCCAAGTCTCGATGGACTTGTATTAATATTAATGTGTCTTTTATTATTCTTAAGAGGACTTGACGCATAATCGTCTTACTTACCTGGGGGATTCTTTATGGCTCAAAGATCCCATTAGGCCTTTACACGGTGTCCCTCAAAAGCATTGGACTGATTCAACCAATATGGCACGAGTAATTTATTTTGTCGTTAAAAGCCAGTCTTAGGCTGTCTTCATAATCATGCATGAGGTATAAGCTACCTTTTAAGAAAAGCCACGATTCATAATACTATGAGGAATTCGCTCGTTGCAGCCACAAAAGCGAGACGACGCTTGCAAAAAAAAAAATAACAGCAATAGAATACCAATTTTTGGTCTTTTTAGGTTGCTAAGTTATTGAAGGTATACAGCGCATGTTTTTTTCGTTTGAAGTGACAAAATTGCTCAAAATCTTTAAAAAGGTTGCATTACAATAGTGCATGTCAGCTGCTAACATTTTGAGAAAACGGGGAAAACGTATAATGCACAATTTTTGGGGTCTCGTAAGCGGATTCCCTTGGTAACGCACGGTAATGGCTTCTTGTAAAGCGCTCATGTTCGTCACGAAGTGACGCTCCTGGCGCTCTATTATTACCCTGGCTTTAGAACGGCTGCCATTACGGCGCTCAAGCATTGAAGGAATTTCTTCCTACCAGGTTCCCATTTACTACACCTGGGTGGAGAGAGGCACTCGTAGTAAAGTGCCTTTCTCAAGCGCACAAGCATCATGTTCCCCGTCAGGATTCGAACCCATGTACCACGGCACACGAGTCGAACACCGTAACCATTGGACCACAGCACCGGATTTGAGTGAAGAAAAAAAAACTTGTTTTTTAACAGTCGAATCCTGACGGGGAACATGATGCTTGTGCGCTTGAGAAAGGCACTTTACTACGAGTGCCTCTCTCCTACCATTTTAGGCGGATTTGATGGAAGTCTGATCTTCACTTAATTTGAGCACGGATTTTCCCGTTAAATCGGAAGGCACGTTTCAGGGAAAATGCAAATGTTGCTATGCACCTTTCAGTGTGAACCAGTTCAAAATGGCCTAAGCTTAAGCTTGCTGCTCTGTTTCAAAACGACATGCAAAAGAACGGCTATAACACTAAAACCTCCATAAACCTACTGACCAAAACCGACTCAAAGATAAAATATCAAAACTTAGCGCACATCTTATTTGCTCCAGGTCAGAAGTCTAATCCTTTGCGTGCATTTCCAGCTTATAAATCTTCCAGAGGGAACCAAAGGATATCATTTGTTTGCATATCAGTTCCCACAACCTTCCACGATGTTGTCACTTGGAGTGCAGCCGCAGGCACTGCTAGAAATGTCCTTGTTTTGTTAATTTTTTGTTAGGCTTTCAGATACTAGGCCTATATCGCATGTTGTTGTACATTGAAGCCATTCTTGTCCCAACAGAATTTTGGTTTTCAATTACTGAAACCGAATACGGCCTAACGCAAAATTTTTAATTGGAATTTCCATGAGCTATTTTTTTCTCCAAAATAAGAAGTAATATATATTAAGACGAATGTTTTCGTATGATGAGATCAAAAATAATCGCGCATATTCCGTACGCCATTGACTATTTGCTATTTTTCTGTCTCGTGCAGCTAGATAGAGTCTTCACTGATCGAGACTATAGTGATTATCAGCTGTCATGGACGACACACTTGTGGGTGATATTTACATCAATATGACACGCCAAGCGCAGATATTTGTGGCTGTATACGTCACAACAGTGGGTGAGTGTTGATTCAATGGCAAAAGCGCTCCTTGCAAATAGCCGACTGCGCATGCGTGGGTATTATATCTCTTACTGCATGCTGAGTATTGCATAACGGAACATAGCACTCATTTTCGTTGTTACATTAGAAGCGTAGTAAATACGCAGCAACAGGACCGTTTCAAACGTTAAATTGCAAGTATATCGAGACCACAATGACGAATATTTCTAGATCACGCGTTATTTGATAGAGAAACTCACATTCTTTCAATTGGTAACAGACTTATTATGTTTGTCATCTGAAAATAAATTGCCCTTTCCAGTTAAAGTCAACACGTTTTCAGTAAAAGACAATGGCAAGGTGTGAAAAAACGCACGTTTGCGCTACTTTGCGCAAGAAAACCTGCTTTAACTTCCGAAGCGTTTGTTGTTGTCATTTGGATCAAGTGGCATGTTGGAGTCTAATACTTTCTCATTACATTCATGTAAAACTTATAGTGATTGGTCAAATGTAACCCATTGCCCTAGTCAATAGTAGTGTATTTCCAGCAATAGACACCACGGTTTTATTACGCGAAATCCCATTGCGTGATGTCATGCGTGATATGTGCATGGACGCGCGCGCGTAATATGTATACAGTGCTCCCATACACACAATGCATATACATGTACATGTACAGTGCGCGCGTGTGCAGTGCGTGTAGCATTATTTGAGCGGGTGCTATACGCTATGTTCCGATATGTAATTGTCTATGGGTAGGGGTGGGGGTACAGCTTATTACCGTATAGTACGGATGCAAAATGTATCGTTATATAAGGTGATTCGGACACGGCCATACTTGGTAATATTAAATTGCAAACTGATATATAATAATATTGTTGCAAGACCCATCATAATTATATATAAATAGTCTCTGACTATAAGTCAGAATTGGCGTAAAACAGAAAATGTTTTCGGATGTGCGATATGTTTCTGTAATTCTTAAATATACATTTTTACAATATTTAATTTTCAGTCTGAAGTCAAGTTGCTAAAAATGCGTCAATGACCGTGACATTTCTACTGTTGGTACCCAGAAATGGGCGCCCTCATTCGCTCGAACACGGCCCATTCGTGAGCATTAATTAATTGTCAACATTCTGTTGTGAATTGCAGGCACTATAGCGACAGTAGGCAACATCAGCGTGTTGATCATCCTACTCCGCTTCAACACCTTCCGGAAAAAGTCCATCAACTTCCTTCTGATCAACATGGCGGCCAGCGACCTGGGCGTGTCAATATCCGGGTACCCTATGACGTCATCCTCAGCCTACGCCGGTCATTGGCTGTTTGGTGACAGCGGCTGTCGGTACCTGGCCTTTTGCGTCTACACGTTTTCCTGTTCAACCATTGGTTCCCACGTTGCCCTTGCTGTCTACAGGTACATCTACGTCTGTAAACCAGCTTCGAGTGAGTTCAACATTTCAGGCCTATCGGTTTTTTTTGTGAAGCGCAATTACTCATTAATATTGGATCTTAATACATTTTGTACTGACAAAAATGTTGTTCTAAAGGAGTTCGTGATGGACTCTAAATTCGTTCTTAAATGCAGATTGACAGACTTATTATTCTTTCATCACTCATTAATTCCGTGTAGGTATTGTTGATGTCGCTGTGTGGATTGTTTGGAAGGAGAACCATGCGCAAATTTTTAATCTTAAATTCGTAAATAGATACAGATCTAAATACCGAGGTCACCATTACGCGCATACCAAAACCAAATAGACAAACATTAAAACAAAAACAATACGGTAACAAAAATGCACGCCATCTGTGTTGTTTTTATCTATTGGGCAACATGGATTTCCTATATTAATTAACTCCTTTCTTCATCTCTCTCCCCCGTCATAGAACATAAGCTGACTCCCAAAGTCACCTTTATTGTCTTGGTCGTGATCTGGGCGAAAGCTCTCTTCTGGACCGTGACTCCATTTATTGGTTGGAGTAGCTACACCTACGAGCCATTCGGGCTGTCCTGTTCCCTTGACTGGACTGCCCGAACCTTCTCTCATCTCAGCTACAATGTGGCCTGCGTCCTGGGTGTGTTTGTGGCCCCACTGGCCGTCATGTTGGCCTGCTACTATCGCGTGGCCAAGCGAAGCAACCAGGTTGACCCCACCCGAATGGAGGAGCGAGATCTGGGAGTGGCGATGTTCTTGCAGATGCACAGGAAGGATGTCAAGGTGGATTTCCATGTGACCAAGGTAAGAATAGTCCCACTCTCAATTCCACCAGGAATAGGAACCAATAGTAGGGACTAATAATAGGGACCACTAATATGGGGACCAATAATAGGGACCAATTTGGGGGACCAATAATAGGGACCAATAACATGGACCAATAATAGGGACCAAGGGACCAATAATAGGGACCAATAATATGGACCAATACTAGGGACCAATAATAGGGACCACTGAGGGACTAATACTAAGGACCAATACTAGGGACCAATAATAGGGACCGATAAAAGGGACCAATATCAGAGACCAATATAATAGGGACCAATAATAGGGACCAGTGATAGGGACCAAAATAGGGACCAATAATAGGGACAAATACCAGGGACCAATAATAGGGACCCAAATAGGGAAGAATATCAGGGACCAATATCAGGGACCAACAATAGGAACCAATTTTCTGTACTATACTCCCTTTGTATTTTTTGTTTACCTTGATGTCCACAGATGTGCGTTCTGATGACACTTAGTTTCATGATAGCCTGGACACCATACACTGTCGTCTGTGTCTGGGTCGTCTTCAACAAATTAGAGCTCAACATTGTAGCATCCCTGGCCCCAACGCTTTTCGCCAAATCCTCCTGCATGATGAACCCTCTAATCTACTTCATCGCAAGCTCCCGTTACAGGCGTGATTTCCTCAGGATGTTCCGGGCCTCGGGGAGCGGAGCACCCACGGGACAAAGCGGCGACCGGACCGAGGGGGGTAGGTCCAGCAAGCCCGGTACGTCTGCGGCCGGTGACGGCAGTGGTGCTGTCTACCTTCGCCGGACCACCTCCCCCTCTGGAGACATATCGGCTTCTATGTACTTCAACAAAGAGCGCATCTACATCGGCGATATCAAGCCGTCGGGAATCGATAAGGAAGCAAAACTGATCGGGAAAGACCCGGATGTGCTGTCTATGTCCTCATCTAACACCTCTGATGAGTATCGGGTCTACGTCAAAGAAATGAAGAAGGTGGAGGAACCTATAGTACAGTTAGAAATAGACATACACTAGAGGCATGTAAGCATCACGAATAAACCTCAGAATAATCCTGTTTCTTACTCAATGTCTTGTCTTTAGAATCTTTGTGATGGATTCACAACTTAGAAGTATATAATACATTCAGTCTCTTCTCTCCATAACTAACAAAATAAACGCAGAAGGTAAAAGGTAGAGAAGATAAAGACAAAAAAAGGAACAATTTTTCCTTTTCCCTCAAGGTTCAATCTGCCGTTACTTAAGGTCAAAGAAAATACAACTAAACCCCCCCCCCCCAAAAAAAAAATGCAATCAAAATTCAAAACAGCACGAGTGAATTGAAGGCACGTAGAACCATTGGTAATTACCTGGAAACACACCTATATTTTAACAAGAAAAATCTTGGTAGTAAAGACAGGTCCCGAGTATCCTGTGAAAATATTCCGCCCGAGATGATTTCGATCGAGAGAAATAATAATAATAATAATAATAATACTTGAAAAGGTGGTTTAAAATAACCCAAGTTTTTTACGTGAATTTAATAGCAACGGAATCCAGTTAAAGAGACCCAACAACTGTGCACAAGTTGTCTCTGTATTCCCCCCCCCCCCAAAAAAAATTGATTTATTATAGTATCGACCAGGGGCGTAAATCCCGGGAGTAGATGGGGGTATATCCCCCTCCCCCAGTTTTTCGTGGTGAAAAACAAAACAAAAAGCGGATTTCGAGGTATTTTTCGAACTTCCCAACCACCAAAATGTATTCATTATAACTGAAAATGGTTGAAAAAGTACAAAAGCTTGAAATGCGCCGTTTTGATGTAAGATTAAGGGGCGTAAATATACATGAGATGTAAATCTGTATCATGAACAACGCCCCCTAGTGTCATGTGGTGTCCAGCAAGCCCCCCCCCCCCCTCGAATGACCACGGCCGGGCAAATTTTTGATTTTAGTCATCCCCAGCCCCATCCCTTCCAGTCCCCGACACAGATTAACGCCACTGCTATCCACAGAGCTGAAACGTCAACGAGTTGTTATGCACCATGACTTCAGATTCTGAGCAATGTGGTGCTTTAAAATGAACACAAACCCGAAAAGGTTTCCCAGAAATCATCTAACTACGGAACCTATGGTCGTTGGAATTTGTTTTTGTTTCTAAAAAAAAAAAGAATTGTAATGGTTATTAATAGTGAACAATAATGTGTTTGATGTAGAGCTTGTCAACCAGGTGATCTGGTTGATCATGTCGTAAATTTGTGATTCAAATTGTGATTCAAATTGTGCACAGACAATAATGTATATTCTAGTGACACTAATAATCGTTGTTCTTGAACACAAATTAAGGATGTTTTAAAATTGTTACTGGAAGTCTAGGACCATTGAATGAAACCAATACGGGGTATTTCCAGTCATAATTTCCATTTCTTAGGATATTTTGGGTTATTGTTATGATGTTGTTTGCCGATGTGATGTGATTTTCCATAGGCCTTTCTTGATGTCATGTTCAATGTTTAATCTGCGTGAGATTACACAATCTACAGAAATCGCGTTGTTTTTTGTTCGTTTTTAGTCACGGTGTTTTTTTCCGTTTCCAGTTCTTTATAAAAAAAGGTACTCGGATTTTTCGTATTGCATTCGTTTTGACATTTCATAAAATATACAGGTTCGAGAAAGGCAGTTGTTAAACAATTAACAAACATCAACACAAATGTTGTATCTAAGATGAATAAAAAGACGATCTGTTTACGACCTCAAACTTCAGTGTCTGATGTGATATGATGACTTTTACGTTGTACTGCATTTACACATAGGATCATTTGCATTTATCCAAAACAATAAACCTACCGAGTTTGGAAGCTTTCTTGGATTAAAGTTCATACTTGTACTTATATACTGGTAGTGAACACCCTGTGCAATTATTCCGTCCAAGCTTGCTACAACAAAAGACATCACGAAAACCTCCAAACTAAATCCTAACCTGGTCGTGACAATAGCGCCCTCAATTTGTTGCTCGAGGAAACTTGTCAGTGCTCATTGCCACGATTAGTGCGCCAAATCAAAATGCATGTACAATTGTAATGTGGCTGTACGATCAACTTTTAACAAGCTCATATTAAGGGTATTTATCAACTAAAGAAAACTAGACATAGTGGTAAGTTAAAGTATTTGGCAAAGCAGAATAAATTCTACTGGTCCGATTTTAAATGGAATAATTATCTCCGGGAAAATTGAGGACACACGTAAAAAAAAATCCAGAAATAAGAAACTTACTTTAATACACTTACATTATATAGCTTTTGTTCCTATGTGTACTGGCGGGGAGTCCGGGGGGGGGGGCTGGGCCTGAAGCCCCTTCAACATCCCCCCCCCCCATTTTTCTTGATTATAAAGATTTGTTATGTTAAAAACCAAAAATATAATTCTTTTATTTAAAAAAAAAACCATCTCCAACCCATGTCTGTAAAAATCGCTGTAACAGAACGCCAAATATTTTTGTAGAAGTTTGAGAAGGAATGTTGTGATACGCTGCCACGGGGGGGGGGGGGGGGGGGGGGCGTGGAGGGGTGACGACAGCCCCCCCCCCCCCATGAAACCTTGTCGCCCCCCCCAGTAGCGCCCCCCCCCCAACTGAGATTTTGAGTTTCTAAAAAAATTATCACATGATCTACATGACGCCCCCCATGAAATGTTCCAGCCCCCCCACCCCCCCCCCCCCCCCCCCCCCCTTGAAAAATTCCTGGCTACGCCACGCTGCTATATATATGTCTTATTGTGGGATCGATCCCACCGCTAACGGGAACAAACAGGTGAGAGAGAAAAAATGGGGCACCCAAGAGCCACCGTAGTTTCGGCTGTTGTGTACGTTGACAATGGGATTGTTAATTGATCATTGGGGCGTAACACTACACAACGCAGCAGCGATAGCGCGCGCTGCATGCTGACATGATTGTAGTCGTAGCACCGGCCCTGTAATGCCTCGTTGCACATTCCTGATATAGTCGCAAACTACTACGCTTTTCATTCCATCTTCCAGCATGAATAAGCAGCCATTATGATATCCTGAAGGTATCAGGCAAGCCTGTAGACACATCAAGGCTTTTTAGTTTTGAAATCAGCGCAGCCAGGGCTGTCTGTTCGGCGGTGTGTGATGATGTTTTCCAGGCGGGGGATATTCAGGAATTTACGGTACCTCCTCATCTTCGTTGCCGCACTTTCCGTGACTGCACTGTTGTTCACCGTGGGTGACATACGGAATGTCTTTGGCAGAAAATCTGATTATCGGTCACTGGGCTTCCACATTAATGGTAAGATAAAAACAAAACACTCCAACTATCCGTCAAAGGCTGGAATACTGTACGCCCCGTAGGCCTATATCTTGCCAAGATCTTAACTCAATGAATGGGAGGTTTGCTGTAGTGTAACACCATGTGAAGGATATATTCTGAGAAAAACCAGATGGTTTCATTAACTTGACGTATCAAGTCTTAATTATCTTATCTCACTGCCAACTGATAAACAAAATGAAAACCTACATGTAGGCTTTCATTTCCCCCCGGAATTACTTAAAGGAAAGAACGTAGTAATGAAACGGTTCAATGTGTTATTATAATCGTACGTTACGGTTTTCAAAATGTTTGTACATGTATTTATTTTCCAACGAAATTGCAATTGATTCTCATCCTGAATTTTATTTAGAAATATTTCAGACGACTGACAATCATTGTATACATTGTGTAAAAGAGGTATCAAAAATATTTGGCAAGCCTATACTTTGATGTTATCAAACAAAACTGCTTTGCAAAAAATAAAAACTGATTGACTCGCATAATTGTTTTGCAGTTTGGCCATAGAGGGAACTCAGAATGTTCTTCGACGTCCTTCGTTTAATGCATCAAAATGTAGCGACACGTGGGATTAATAGTGCATTAACAAAACATAGACGGCCACGTGAAACTAACGGTGTAGTACTACGTCGATATATATGCGTCACGAGTAGAGTTTGTGAATAGAAACGGAAATCTGGTACTTAAAAAATTAGTCTTTATTTCCTTGAAGTCCAGTCGCCAGAATAAGTAACTGAAAATATTTTCAATTACCTGAAACGTGCCTATCTACCGATTTAACGAGAAAATCCATGCTCAATGAAAAGGTAGGACTGGTACCAAATCCGCCTAAAATTGTATTATTCGGAAGAAATAATTGTTATGCACCGTTCTTAAGATTTGAGCAATGTTGTTGCTTCAAACGAAAACAAAATGCACAAAAGCAAACGATGCTATTCCTGTGTATCTGGGACCCTCTATACTAAAACTACAATAAAGTAGGCCTACCCCGTGCTTCATATTGCAAGTTATTGTTCCCTATTTACAAAATATTGAGAGAAAACAATGTTGATCAACGAATTTAGACTCTGCTACTGACATTCTCAGGATCTCGACGTAAACCTCGGAGGATTCTGTTAGCCACAGGTTGAGAAACGTTGGCCAGGTTTTATGTGTGCTATACAAAAGTACAATGACTGTTTCAACAGTGGCGAGTGCTGTTGTGATATCATGTGTTGGCAAAATGTCTTTACCACCCGAAAGTGACTTTGAATGTGTAGATTAATGTATTCTCCATTCTCTCTGCTTGAACCCTGCACCAGACATATTTCCGTTTGTTAAAAAACAACATAAGGTATGAAATCTAATCTGGGTGCATGTGGTTCACGCATTCATGACCTCGCGCACGTTCAGGTTTCCTGTATTGTGAGATAGACAGTCGTAACGGCAAAACAAGAACACGAAAGCCTAGGATAACGTATAAAGCATGGTCACCGAACGCGCAAAATTATATTCAATTGATTCAGAATAGCTCAAAGGTTCAAGAATAAGCTGTGTGTATAACGGCATTGAGATGAAAACTCCTACTATTCGAATTCGCACGGAGACTTCAGTTGACTTATTTGCTGCCACATGATCATGAAAGCACATGGATACATCATGGAAACCAGTGGCGCGAGACTAATGCATGTACTGCAGTATACATCAACTATGCATCAGTACTAATGCATAGTTAAAGTTCATGTCAAACATCTGATTATAAATTTCCATTTTGCTTCTCGAAGGTCAACTTGCTAAAGAAATAATTTATTTTCTAAAGCCTTATTGCAAGCCGTTCATTGCAAGGGTCAGTGAAATATTTAATCAACGATTATAACTGTCATTAATGTGAAACCAGCGCCTCAGTTTCCCATATTACTCCATAATAATTTAATGGATGTAGGCCCTAGTCATTATCTATATTTCATGACCCGCTGAACGAAGGACACAAACAGGCAGAGTGCAGGTGAACGGATCGAGACCATTAACAGTACGAAGTGCGGCTAAAATGCAAACAAAGTCGACGCTTTGACCCACAAATAATTGAACAATGAATCGTGACTTGAACAATTAAGCAGTGGAACTGGGCTGAGCTACAAAACTAACATGCTGCGTGGTAAATTGTATTATATCAGATCGACATTATTTCCTTCTTTGAAAACCGTGACCCGACGCGTAACCTTGACGGTCGCAATTCACGAAATAGTGTGAGAATTCGTGGCTTCGGCGCAGCTATTTTGTGTTGGCGTGAATGGGTGTCGTACTGTGCTTCCAGCCCAGACGGTGTGCAACATGTGCACGGATTTTTAACAAAAACAAATCTGAAACCAATATCGAAAAAAAAAATAACAACTGCCTTGGTTTTCCAAACAGTATATGGGTTCTCTTAGAGCATCCAATGGGTTCTTTTAGTTCATTGGGTTCTCTTAGAGCATCCCCTGAGTTTTCTTAGAGCAACCCACCAACACTGCACTGATTGCATAGGAGGTCTCTCAGATCATCCAGGGGCCCTCTTAGATCATCCAAACCCTACTGCACTGATTCCATAGAGGTTCTCGTAAAGCAACCCTATGCAATCAGAGCACTAAGTATATGATGGGATGCTCTAAGAGAACCCCCTCGGCCTCGCCTGCTCTAAGAGAGCCCCTATGTATCATTGAGATGTTGCTGGGATGCTCAGAGGGAATCCTTGGGATGCTAAGAGAACCACTATGCAATCAGTGCAGTGCGTACATGCTTGGATGCTCTAAATGGATGCTTGGATGCTCTTGGGATGCCTTAAGAGAAACCCTATGCAATCAGTGAAGTGATTGGGATGCTCAAAGAGAACCCACTGGGAGGCTCTAAAAGAACCCACTGGGAGGCTCTAAGAGAACCCATATGCAATCAGTGCAGTGTATACATGCTTGAATGTTCTAAAAGAATCACCTGGGATGCTCGAGGAAAACCCCTACGTAATCAGTGAATTGTTGGGATGCTCTTAGAGAAACCACTGGAGGCTCTAAGAGAACCCAGTGGGATGCTCTAAGAGAACCTCTATGCATTTTAGAGCATTGTACGTGTGGCGGGATGTTCTAAAAGAACCCTTTAAAATTAGTGCACTGTGGGCTGGGATGCTCAGAAAGAGTTGTTTGATGCTCTAGGAGAACTTCTGGGATGCTCCAGGAGAACTTCTGGGATGCTCTTGGAGAACTCCTCGGATGCTCTAGGAGAACTCCTCGGATGCTCTAGGAGAACTCCTCGGATGCTCTAGGAGAACTCCTGGGATGCTCTAAGAGAACTCCTGGGATGCTCTAGGAGAACTCCTGGGATGCTCTAGGAGAACTCCTGGGATGCTCTAGGAGAACTCCTCGGATGCTCTAGGAGAACTTCTGGGATGCTCCAGGAGAACTTCTGGGATGCTCTTGGAGAACTCCTCAGATGCTCTAGGAGAACTTTTTCGGATGCTCTATGAGAATTCCTCGGATGCTTCAGGAGAACTCCTCGGATGCTCTAGGAGAACCCGAATACCGTCCGGAAAAGCAACACAGTTATTATATTTTTTTTCTTATGATCTTGATATCATGAAATGTCGGATACTAGAAAAAAAATTTTCTTTCAATATCCATGCAACAATGTACAACATGTCTGCATATATGTAAGCACGTACGGCATCTACACAAATCCACACACTATATGTACTAGTGCGCAGCGAAGCCACAAAGCCTAACACAATTGCATGAAGTGGGGCGGTCGGGTCAGGCGTCGGGTCACACGGATTCCGTCTCTGACAGACGTTTCAAAAGAAGGAAATATTGATTTGCTTTTCTATAGGCTACGTGTGCATGCGAGCGCAAGCCTATTCCCTATTGAAATTGGTATGAATTCACCAAAATAATATTTTACGACCTGTTTCCTGATTGTTTGACGTGCAATTATGTGCGGCAGTGTGTGTGTTTCTCCATCAGTACACGGCGGATATTTCACATCCTGGGTTCCAAGTTATCGTAAATTGTGTGAACTTCCGTTAATTTTATGCTGAAAAACAAGACGGGCGGAATCGTTTGGAAGTGCCGCTGTGCTGTTTACAATTATCAATTATCATTTTTTTTGGTCAAACAATCCACAGATACGTGTGAAATAAAACACTTTTTTTCGAAGACTGTTATGAAATGCCCCGAGAAAACAACCGTAGTGAAACTGCACCTGGAATGTCGTGCTTTTCCTTCAAAATGAGCAATATCGATTGTGGAGTAGAAATATATTACACGACGAGCACAAGTGCCTACAACGGTACACCAGCACTGTAGAAATTGTCATTTTAGGGTGAAGGTCAAACGTATAGACCTTTGCTTCGTCAAACAATAATCTTTTGTCAACCGTTGTTTGTTGAAATCGGTCTGTATGGACGGCCATCGTTACAAAACTTTCAGTTTATTTGTTAAAAGGTCCAAGTTTAACCCTGAAAAACATTTATTTTTTAGAAATATAAATTCTTATGAACTGTATACTAAAATAACGATACACTCGTTTTCGATTTAAATCTTGTTAAAGCGCACCTTTTTTCTTTTTTTTAAACTGTCTTATTACTGTTCCTTTCAACTAAGGGCGCTTTTATTATGACGTCACTTTGGGCACACACACAATAGTTCAGGGATTTAGAAAACATTTTATGAACCCAAAACAATGTGCCTTATTGGAAACATTTGTATCTAATATTGCTAAATAATTGACTGTCATGTCATGAATTAACAATGGAACACCAATAACAGAAAGTTGACAGCGGCAAAACCCCCCAAAAGTCTGGCAACTTTTGATACCAAAACAGATTTAACATCACGGTTTGGCTCATGAATATGGACATTCTGGTGAGCATAAAAACGTAAAAGGCTCCGCAATACCCTGAAAACTGGCCATACAAAAATTAAACAAAAGTGTTAAAATGGTATGCCAGGGTTCACTTTGAGGATAACGTTGCAAGAACAATATCTTTCAAAATGTTAACGTAGACTCGGCGACAAAAAAACACCACAGAAAATATGATCTTTAACCTAATTGGAAAGCGTTTATCGGATGCTCAGTGTTGGCAAGGCCCTTGGCCAACCCGGACGTTATTTATTGAACTAGGCGGATGCGCACTACGAAACGGATCTCGATAAGCCTATGAATGTTTGCTAACAAGTTATCTCTTGTTATACATATTTCGTTGTTTTGTCTCTGGCCATATAGAATTGCGAAGTATGTTCTCAGTTAAATAATACGTTACGATAATTGAAATGGACCAGTAGTTGCTTACGTACGTACGCAAGCATAGTACCCATGCACTAGATGTGTGAATGCTTACACCTCATCAATAACATCTGGTCATAACCAGGTGTTATTGATCCTTATGTGTATATTTGATAAATTATGTGTATAATTTATAAATAATGATCAGGCTGATGCATTTCTTGCACGTCCAGATATATTATAATATTCCCTGGAGAATTTTATACATGAGGGAAAGATGGCGTGGTATATACCAGCGATTTCCATTGCGCAGGTTTACAAAATCCTGGAAAGATTATTAACCGTGCATGTTTCCCGATTTGTTCAAGATACATTGTAGATAATTTATAGAACATTAAACGTATGATTTAAACGTGCAGATAAGCGTTAGTGCAAACTCTGTTAATACAAAATTCTGGTTATAACAAACATATTAAAAGCCTTGGTCCCAACAGACTGTGCATTTATGTGCACAATGAATGGGACTGATGTTCCTCTTACTTAGTCTTAGTACAGAATTCTGAAACAACAAACACTTTGGCTAGGTCCGAACGAGTTTGTTTTAACGAGACTCGACTGTATTATTATTATTAATAGTAACATATTGTAATGGAAACATGTACAGAGGAGACAATGAGAAGAAATTACAGTTTTAGATGTGGGAATAAAACCCCTGAAGAATATTTGGGGAAACCCACGGAATCAGGTAGGGACTGAAAACCCAATCCACATGTGGACCAGGGCAGGAATCGAACCCAGACCACAGCCGTGACCTCAAACTGCCCCATTCATTGTTACAAGGCCCACGAGTATAGACAACTGCAAGGCAAGGCAAAGCAAACGGAATCTGCCAAATCCGGAACAAAATATTCCATCTGAAACGTTGGTTTCCAGAAAAAGACAGTTCCACGAATCACCAATGTATATAGCTTACTATATGTTGCCTCCCCATTTTGAATTTGATTAACTATAACCAACTGTGTTGTACCATGGAACTATAAACACAGCTCCATGGTTGTACAGATCCATATTGCTAAGCCTAATGTTCAAGTCCATGTATCAAATGCAATATGGTCGATAATGCATTACCAATACTGCCATATTACAAACAGGTCAGTTGGTGACATGGAGAGGGGAGATAAACGAGTTGAACTCCAGTCCAAATAGCTGACCAATTAATAATTGATTACCGGAATGAACCCGTCGATAATTCGTCAAGTGTTACTGTCGTGGATTATAGTGACGTGTATACATCACCTGTTGTATCAATCGAAAATCTGAATAACCAGTCACGTTTGTCATGATGGGAATGCGTAACCAGAAAACACCATGAGCAATATTGGGCATTGGCAAGCACGCACTGGCTGGTCTGCTGGGGTCGATGTTGAGGCATATACTACAGAGTAAAGTCCAGTGCACAATGACAGGTGTAGGGGGTGGGGTTTGGGCGGCTATTACCACCCACGTTCGATCTCATCAATGCCATTTTTCAATCAAACATTTTCAGATTTCCTGACCCGAAAAAAGTTCAAATCATAGTTCATTTTTTTAAAGTGAAGTTCTGCATGTAGCACTTTCAAAATCTAGGATATGAAAGCCCAATTCATAAGCTTTCTTTTAGTACAAATATCATTCAAATCACTTATGTACTGTTCAAGTTATTGAATTTTAATCACAACCTCCGTTTTAAAGTTCTGTCCACAGATCACAAAAAGTCAGTGTTCTTGGATACTGGGCTGGCCCTGTGTGATACCGGTGTCATATGAAAATCCGACTCCTATGAAAATCGGACCCCTTTTCCCTATGTGAATCCCTCGCTCGTGACAGGTCTCTCTCCTATAATTATCCTAAAAATAGCATATTATCGTACTTACGCATGCGCAATACTACCAGTGAGTCCATATTTCATTGAGTCGGATATTCACACTACACCGGCACAAATCTTTGACTTTCAACTTGCGCCTCTGGCACCCTTAACGGTGGGAACGTGGTATAGGCACGTTGCATCAAAGTAAAGCGTTTCCTGGGCCACAATTGCCAGGGTTGGGACGGGATGAATTAAGGGCAGAAAAGACAAAGCCAGGCTTGAACCAAGTCTACCGTTCATGGATACCAGCTCGGTTGATATGAAGCTCCTCTTTTTTTGTTGAAGGGGAACCATCGATTGGCGCAAAGCATCATGGGAACAATAACAGCGACAGCAGGCAACCATCCAGAATGAGTAAGTGATATGAACAATGTTTGAGAGTCATTTTGTTGCTGGTCCGCGCTGGGTTGGCAAATATGTAAATGTCCACACAACGGCTGGCTTTTTGATACCAAAACAGCTGGGAGCACAAAGACTTGGAATCATTATCGATTCGGTTACCAAGGCAACTGCGATTAATGTGCAGAGCATTAACATTAATGTGCACGCGTTAGGTTTTAGGTTTTCAGTCATTTAAATTGCCAGCATTTAGACATGTGTAATATTTCTTTTTCAAATTGGTTGTTTTATATTTAAATGACACTTAGCTCGGATTTAATTCTTGTTTTTATTAATTTCAAAAAATGAGTACAAGTGCATCAAGGTCATTTAGTTATCTATAGAATAAAACCCATCGTATTATTTTATCAAAGGAACTCAGATAGCGGTAGATGTGCATGAATTGGGGCTAAATCAACCATTGACGAAGTGTCTCGCATTGAAGGACATACCTCATCTAGGTAAGTTGAGTTTAATGATGACTTTGTATTTTACAAACGAAAAACCCACACAAACATTCGTTTTTGAGCTAATCATATTTATTTGAAGGGTTGCATGGTTAGCCTAAAGCGCTCCTGAAGAAATTTCATCAATGTTGCAAACTTAATTCTAGAAACACACTGCTAGCTTTCTCAAAACTTGGATTCTGACGCTGCTCGTAATCTGCGAAAGTATGGCAGTATTGTAGTCGTGTGGAGTGTCGTGTGGAGTGTCGTGGTATGGAGTGTCGTGGCCTCATGGTCTGGGGCATTGAATTCGTAGTCTGCAGGTAATTCTGCAGGTTGTGGGTTCGAGTCCAGGCTGCGACTATGGTGCGTGTGTCCCGGGCAAGGCACTTTGTCACTCATTGCTTCTCCCCCACCCAGGAGCAATTGGGTACCTGAGAGGGTAGAGATGGTTATTGTGACTGATTCTAGCGTCCTTGCACCGACATGTAACAGGCAGCATCGAGCTGTATACTCCCTAGGGAGTTGAGATGGAATTTGGAATGTTTAATTGGCCCAAATAATCAGGGGTAATAATATTGTAAAGCGCTCTGATCTTAGTTAAAATCGCTATATAAGAACCCGTTATTATTAGTCGAGGTAGTATGGATCACAGGTCATTACAAATCAATAAACAAGTTATCCAGCTCAAAGTCAACTCACAAGCTATTCAAATGAACAGTGGCAAATGCATTCCTGTATTGTTCATCTACTTGTGACTAGACTTGAGAATTGACTCGTGATGGACTTGTGAATTGTGATGGACTTGTGAATTGTGATGGACTTGTAATCCAACAGAAGTATTTACAAGTTTACCCCAGAATCTCCCGTACTTGTCTTGCGACTTAAACCTTTTCAGTGAACGATCGGCCGATGAATCTGACTGCTGGCATACCGATGCACGAGTTGGAAAGAACGATCTTCCCTGATCACCCAGAGCGAATCCGAGATGTAGTGTCCCGAGGCAACCGGGAGTTACTGAGTCTACTGTATACCGCCGCCAACTCACCCCAGATCAACGGCTCACTCATTATGGAGGGCTTGGCTTCGCTACAAGTCCGTAGCGGGGACTATCATTACCTACCTGGTGGACACTGGCGACCAGCTTCCTGTGTACCAACATGGAAGGTAACTATCATGCCCCTTTAATATTAAGGATGGCTCATCAGGATCTCTCCAACTGAACAAGTATTCAATCCATTTACATGTATCGACTGCGGAATGTCGATTTTGCAGCCATCTTGAAAACGTCCACTAGTTACTTTCTATAAACTAGCCAATTAAAAGATATGATAAATACAAATTACCAAGCCAAATTTGATGTTTGCTTCACCATTCGCACGATTTCTTATATTCGCCACTGAAATTCAAGTATCTACAGTGTTTAAGGGAACGTCAAATTCAAGTCTAATATCAATTAGGTATAACACTCTCAAAGGTACGACTTCGAACTTGGGTTATTACGGTTTAAAAAGAGCATTTCATTAGTAAAATAGATCTATCAGGAAGGCCTGCGCCTGCGCAGTTTGTATAATGCTACTGTTTTTATCACTCGGGTAAATTTGCATTGAAGTTTAACACCACTTCCAAGTTTTTCCCCCTTCATTTTCATTCTATTTCACAGGTCGCCATTGTTGTTCCGTACAGAAACCGAACCGTTCAGTTGTCGATATTTTTGCGGTATATGATTCCGTTTCTACAAAAACAGCAACTGGAGTTCGCCATCTACATAGTGAACCAGGTAATGATAGGGGGCGCTGTTTGTTTACCTTACCTTAGAAAAAGTAAAGAAGCCTGCTGCAGACACACTTGCAGGAAAAGCATTGGTTTCAAAAGCGTCATGTGAACTGACGAATCTGATTCTACCTAATTGCAGGAGAGTGATATTTCCTTCAACCGCGGAATGCTGCTCAATGTGGGTTTCCTAGAAGCGTTGAATTTCTCTCACTGGGACTGTTTCGTCTTTCATGATGTGGACCACCTACCACAAAGCGAGTTTAACCCTTACGGGTGTGTGGATCTACCGAGGCATTTCATTGGCGGGGCCGACAACCGGAACTACAAGTAAGCCGCCATTTTCTACCCGGATCAGCAATTCCTTTGGAAAAGATTAAATGACCAATTGAATTTAATTTCAGTCCCGTTTGGCCGAGTGCATTACCTAAAAATTCTTTGAAAATTTTCGTGCACTATGTGGCGTTAGATTTTTAAAGCGCATTTCTACATCACAATCTTAAACAATTTTTAAGACCAACTCAAAGGATTAGGTGAAGTGAACAATGAGGCCCTCTATATAGTTTTGGCACTTTAAGCCTTTACCCATAAAAAGTATCAAAACAGGGTTTTTTTTCTAGAACTGGCATTTGAACTTTAAAACATGTTTAATACATTTTGCCCTGCTTTTCAAAAAAAAATCTGCATTTTTGCCGTTGACTGACCCGGCGTTCCAGAGTTAAGTTGCGAACCAATTATTCCGAAAATTATTAAAGAAGTTATTATTTCAAGTTCCACGTTTGGAACAAGTTAGGATCAATGACAGTGGGAAGTTCAATCATAAAGTTCACCTTTTGGGTAAAGGTGCGACTTAGAAGCACAAGTCTAAACAGGTGTTTTTGAATTGGGTGACGTTAACGTTTTCACCTGGTTATTTCTCTTTCGGTGTCTCGTCACAGGGTACCCTACTCGACTTCTTTTGGCGGGGTCAACGGCTTCACCACCCCACAGTTCTGGCAGATCAATGGTTTCCCCAACGTCTACTGGGGTTGGTGTTGTGAGGATGATGATCTAGAAGTGCGCGTACGCACAGCTCGCCTCAAGAAGACACGATACGCGGGAACAGTGGGGTATTACAAAGCCATCAGGATACATCATGACAAGATCAAGAAGGGACTAGGAGAACTAGAAAAAACAAAGTGAGTAATCGAAAAGACTTTTTTTTTTAAATATTCATGATGAATAATATTAAAAAGTAGTACTAAAACACTCGCTCATGGATTTTAAAAAGCCGCGAACTTATTGCTCCCAACACGTCAGACATTTTTAAAGCGTAATAAGGCATGTATCAAGGCATGAATACTGTTGCATTCCGGAAATCATTGTACGTTTAGAATTTGCCGTTACGTTTGTTGTTATCCTGTCTTTAATTTAAGTTATGTGTTGTTCTAAATTTGCATTCTTTAGTGTTATGCAATTTTATATTTTCCACTTTTTTTCCCTTTACAGTCGAGTGTTTCTCAAGACTTTGCGAAGTCGCTTAAAAACAGACGGGTTGAACAATCTGAAGTATGACACGCCCCATCTGGAGCTGCATGCATTATACACAAACATCTCAGTGAACATCAAGCATTCTTAGTTCGGCAAGACTCTTTAGAACTGTTTTCTGTTTACAGTTGCAACAATCAATGTGTTGCTGTGTCAATCGTAGGCGGGGTTAGTACTCAAAAGAGTCATGCATGAATTCATGGCGCTGGAGGATTTTTTTAAGGGAAGTGAAGTCCGGAAACCATTCCGTTACCAACTGTCGCATGCGTATTATGGTCATTGCATACGGGGCCCACTAATCAGCTTACTTATCATGTGACCTCACTTGACGATATTTAAATGAGTTGATACTTACGCTGCCGCACGTGGTTATTTTTTGGGGGAACCCAATTGGTTGAAGAAGGGCGCGTTTACAACCTGATGCACGCAAAGCCTGCGTACACTTAACCTTTTTATTCATTTTAAATTTAGAAATTAATTTTCTAAGGGTATTATTTTGTAACTAACTTACCATTCTGTTTGTATTTGAAGACACTGTAGGTGTGTCAATGTCGTTGTAGGGGGTGGGGCGATTGAGACCACGATCAAGAATGAAGAATGTTTGGTTCAGTATCAAATATTCCAATCAAACAAGCGGCCATTGCATGGCCTCTTAAGAAGGCCTGCACTTCGATTCTGGGGTGCTTGTGTAAAATGATATCTCCCATGTGGTTTTCGTGTCAAAGAATGAAACAGTTCGGATTCACTTGACCTGCAATGGTTATAGATGAACGTCTTGAAGCTAGATCACTCGTGCAAATATACTGAGCCTTAAATGTTACTGATAAGCAATAGTAAATCAAGGATGCAATAGGTATTTTGCAACTTTATTTTGCAAGTTCCTAATGATAAAACCAGACGTAATTCTAATGTATATTTTTGTATTGTATACTATTTGTGCCTTGTCAGATCAAATCTAACTGCTGAATTAATTCTCTTGTATATACTATGAAGTTAACATTACATCTGTATATCTGTTGGCGGCGTTTGTTGGTGAACATTGTTTAAAAGAGTAAATTATACAAGTTCTTTTTATACCCAAGTCTTTTGGTACCGGGTACCATGAAAAAAAAATACCTAGCAGGTGTGTGCCTAAATTGGGCGTTCTCGACTACTTCGTTCTTATCACGGAATCGCCATGTTGAAATGAAACCGAGGCCACTAGCCAAGCAAAGAACATCTCTCTCTGTAAATGGTGGCCAAAGCTTGCCAGCCTCTTTTTTTTGCAAATGCTGCACGTGAACCCTCGAGAACTGCGAGATTTGGTAGGAAAACAGTGAAAACGAAACCGCTTCTTGAAATCGTACCTTTGGTCAACAAGCTTCATGCAGTTTTTCATTTTATTTTTAAAGATGGCCTCCAAGAGGTTAATGATGCAATCTTAAAAACTTTGATTTTCATCATTAAATTGAATTTTATGTGTATTTGTGTGTATTTAGATTTTCCTTACTCTGCAAATCTGTGCAAATATTCATTGTTGATTTTGATTCTAAAAAAAAGTTAGCCCATTTGTAATGATCTCTACAGCAAAGATCATTATTGCACATGCAGTCGGGGCGAGACTTAAAAGTTTAAGGCACTGTTCAATGTATAGCCAGAGTAATTGATCCATTTTGGGAATAAGCCCTAGCCCACCTCAGTCCTCCAAAATCCTCCTGGTGGTTTTGAAGGATTTTAGAGGATTGAGGATGAATGGAGTTGAAGCACATGAGGATTTTGGAGGATTGAGGATGAATGGTGCATGTTTGAAGAAGAGGAGGATTTTGGAGGATTGAGGATGAATGCACTTGAGGGGCAGGACTGTCTTACGATTTTGTAGGATTGAGGTGCTGGGTATCCTTCATTTGGACATAAGTGCACAATTTTGGCGGATTTTGGAGGATTGAGGATGATTTTAATTATTCAGTAGTTAAGATTCACGGATATGGATTCCTGAAACGAGCATAGGATCAAAAAAACGTTTATGATCCATAGGAAAACGTCTTTTTGTCATGAATTGAAAATTTCCTATTTTTTTCATGTCTAACTCTTTTGGGTTTTTATTGTTCTGGGTGTTACACTATAGATGGGAAAATTAACTGAAATAAACTGACTTTCCACTTCATTATTTTTGCTAACTAGGATTTTATTTCGATCTTTTATTTTGGTTTAGAGGTTTGAATAATTCTATCATTCCTTTTTAGTTTATTTATGTTGACAACGTTCAAAGAATAAAAAAAAAGTAAAAAATAAATGGATTTGATTTGAAGTCTGAAGTATTTTATTTTTTAAATATGAAGTATATTTTTTCCAGTTGTCCAGATCAATATATATAAAAGCAAGTATTCGCAACAAGTGCTTAAGTACATTGCACTTGTGCCCCTCTTGTGGGAGCTTGTTGGCGGCTCTCGTTCCAACCTGGCTGTCAGAGTTGTTTGAGATTACAACATTACATTTATAGAAATTGTATAGTGTATTCATCGGTTGTTTTCAGAGTTTCTTCTTTGAAAGTTCTTTATAAAAAAGGGTACTGCATTGTATAACCCGTTTGCATTCGTTTTGACATTTCATAAAATAAACAGGCGAGCAAGGCAAATTGTGAAACAATGAACAACCACAAATACGTACAAACAGCGTAGACCTATACAGGGTGAATACAAAAACCGAAACTGTGATATTATTGCTAATGTAAACAGAAGTAGGGCACATGTGAATCAAAGGGAGATATCCTCTGTTAGGGTTGAATCTCCTCTTTAAAATGACACACTGGTCATGTCATTACATTCACGGTTGACTGAGCATATGTACATGTACTCTCTAAATTCCGAAGAGTGAAAATTCACTCCATTCGAGTGAAGATTCACTCCCACAGTCGGAAACTAGGGACTAGACGTTTTAGAGTGAAATTTCTTCAATCGTAAAGATCGAGTTTTCACTCGGGCTTCGACTGAGGTGGTTCTTTTTTCAGACTTTTTCAATGTAAAATGAGAGTGATTTTCACTCTAAAACGTAGTCCCTAATTTCACTCTTTGGAATTTAGAGAGGAGATGCAGCATGCGATGTTGTAGATTGGCGAAAGTACTGTCCAGCAAGTTCTGAGCAAAGTTTGAGGTTTATTTTGTTTTCATCATTTGAACCTTTGCTCCTTAACTAAAATGTATATTAACATATCAACAACAAAAAAACAATAGCATACGGGCCATTACGCAGTTTAATCTTTAAGTATTTTTTCAAGTAAATGGAATGCAAAATAATGTATAAACATTTTGAGATTGTTTTTGTGTGCATTCTTGCGAGGCTGGAATTAAAAGTTTTTAATTTTGTAATCAGTATTATCATAGAGCCAGAATCACCATTACCATAAATGTTCAATCCTCAAACCAAATTCAAAACATGAAATCAACTATGATTTTAATCATTACTTAAACAAAAATATTCAATTGAAAACTTCAAGTTCTTGCAGAAGTACCAAATGACACAGAGTTGCTTATGAATAGCAATAACTACACACGCTTACGTGTATCGAGGCTAAACCTTTATCTAACATTGACGGCTTTTCATATTTTCCCAATTTTAGAGGCACTCACATTGCACAGCTGAGATCTACAGCGAAATATTTACTAAAAATACCCAAAATGACTCTTTCAGTGTCAAGGCATAATGAGATACATTTTGTAATTGTTTTAGAAGAACATAACTTTATAGGTTTTCACCTCTTTTTTTTTTACAAAATGTCCATCTTCATACGACTCACGGAGTCTGTTTATCATATTTAGTATATAAATAACTTAGGAAAATGTACAAAAATAGAAATATGAATATTTCGAGTTCAAAATAAAACCGATTTCATAGAGCCCTATAGGTAAATACATCAGCCGAGCTAAGAAAAGTATGTTACGCAAAAATACAAAATTTAAAAGGTTACAAACAATATGTTATGTGATGCATTTGTTGTTTGTTGTGGTTTCTTAGCTTACCAATAATCTTTCCATTTGTGTCCCATTAACCTAATTTTCAATTTTCATTTTTGCCTTTTTTAGGGGCGCTTTGGTACCTTTTGGGTTTTTATGCTAATGCGAATTTCTATATTCATTTGTGGCGTTGATTGAAGGGACGCACGTGTTGTTGCCCCACGTGCGCTGTGGGCGTGGCCTAATGAATCGGTATGATTTGGTGCCACCAAGCGTCTCAAAAGTCTCCCATTAAGCTGAGTAGAGGGACAGTATCAATTAACTGATCGATATTGTGGAAGTTCCGCTTCGACAATTTCCCAAATCCCTAGAAAGATTTTAGTAAAGCAGTTATCATCCCGAAATAAATAGGAAAATAATAGTTTATCCACTTTAAGTGGAAAGTAATGAGTCCTCTGTACAAACCGACATTTAAAAATAAAATGGAATATAAAAACTGGATATTAACATTCAGCAGTCTTATTCTAAAAAACATTATATTAATATAATTAATTTAGTATAAAAAATAATCCCCTGTGTCATCAGGACCGGATTAAGTGTTCCGTAGGCCCTACTGCACCCTATAGGATATTCATGTACACCAATGTCATGTTGATGCTAAGCGATACTAAGCAAACCAGGCCACACTGTGATATTTTCGTTGGCCCTCAAATTTTTCATAGGTCCCCGAATTTTTCGTAGGCCCTAGACAGTGCCTACCGATGTGCTTGTTGAATAATCCAGGCCTGTGTTTCATACTGAAACTACCGACACGATGAACATCCCTCATTTCTAAGTTGCTTAAAATTGTCAAATTGACTTAAATATCGGATAAAAATCAGCCCATGTCAATGGAATAAATGCCGTTACTTCAGGTGAGTTGCCTCAAACATTAGTTCAATTGATTAAAACATTCATGAGTAATTAATGTTCATAACAATTCATTAAATGAATTGTTATGAGCATCAATCACTCATCAGCTGATAACGGAAGTTCTGTTGAGCATTATCAATTGAATATATCAATGCTATGCTGCAATACGGGATATGAATGTTTTCTGTCGTAAAAATATTGCCAGTTTAATACCTATTTGTCCGTAGATCCAACATATATGGCATGTAAAGTTCTGCCTCGTTGACACAACATTTTCAGATTACTACACCTCTGGAAATATCTGCAATTTATACCTTTTGGATGTTTACAGATATGTTAGTGTACAGAGTATGGAGTTCTATGAGTGGTCTGGTGTATCTGATGTTGTTCAGTCCATCTTGTTGGTAGCGAGATCTGAACGAACGGAGAAGATCGAACCTGAAAAAAAAATCATCAGACGCCAATGTGACTTTAATCTCTTACGTGACTGTCATGTGACTGATATCATTAGTAAATCAAGCAACGAAGGTTGAACGGTGAAGGCGTGAGTAGCAAGTTCATGTAAATTTGGGTTATGAAATGTGCTTACTTTATTATGTGTTCTCGTGAGTTCTGCCAGCAGATGGTTTTTACATTTCATACGATTTATTAATGCAAATGTATCACAAGTTTGTTCCATTTCTTCACAATTCTGCACAAACTCTGAGAAACGTACCTTTCTTTCATCGCTGGAGAGCTCATGTGGTGATGTGTGATGACCTTGTAGTAATTCTCAGGTCCTGTGGTCCTATAAACATTAAGGTTGCGCGCCCTCACTCGTTCAAAGATCTCATCGTCCTCGCCTCCCCAGCCCCAGTATACGTTGGGGAAGCCGTTGATGGTCCGTATATTCTCCCTCGTCATACCAGTGACGGCTCCGAAGAAATTGTGATAAGGTATTCTGACAATGGACAAAATAATGTATGATCAGGAAAGAATGTTCCTATCCTTTACTACATGTATTAAAGTGTATTACCATCGGCTTAAGTTACCGTACACTGCAAAAACTGCAGTGTTAAATTTACACTGTTGGTATCTATATAGGACCATCTGGTGTTAAATTTTACTGGTGTTGTCCTATATAGATATCGAATGGTGTTAAATTAACACTACACTTTTTTTGCAGTGTAGTTGTTTATGTACACCGGCCATTAGTCTGGTTCCACGACCCGACGATTCTTGGATCGGGTAGGCTTATATACCACCGCTATCACGTGGCCACTTGATTACGTCACCAAGAAGTACTCTTCTTGGTGACCGAAATTTGTCGAACTATTTCTCGTTAACAGTCGGAAGCTGCGTCCGAAATTGGTTGTACACTTTCATTGTAAAACGGGTGTCAACGTACCTGTAGTTCCATCTATCCGATCCAGATAACATTCGTTTTGGCATGTTTGTACACCCGTAGTCATTCAGATCACTCAGAGGCACGTGGTCCACATCGTGCAGGACAAAACAGTCCCAGTTAGAGAACTTCAGAGATTCTAGGAAGCCTACGTTCATCAACATGGCGCGGTTGAAAGGCATGTTGTTTTCCTGTTTGGGAACAAGAGGTTGTCGGTCAGCCATGTCTGAATCTTAGGATACTGCTTACTTTTTCCAGACACACTGCACCAAATGTCCGTAGCCGAAGAGTAAATTTTCCGATTCGGAAACGGTCCAATTCCCAGCTTTTGTCATAACCCAATTTAGAATACCCTGGCTGTTGTCTCTTTTAATAAATGTTTTTCCTGTGCTAATTTTCTTGATTTTTCAAGGCGGTTATGCTGGTTGAGCAGTAAAACAACTTCAGCTGTCCTATATACATCTCATTGTTTTAATTGTTAGTGATACATTACAAATGGTGCTGATGGTGGAAGTGGTGATGTAGAGCTAACCATCTCACCACACTGATCACCACCAACCTACCTGGTTCACGGAGTAGATAGCAAACTGCAGGAGTTGTTTCTGGAGCATAGGAACGAGACGTCTTATTAATATCGGCAAGTGATACTCCCGATGTCTGTAAGGAATGATGATGGCAACCTGGGTAGAGAAGGAGGGTTTCATACAGAGTTTTTGCGTTCGGAAGCCATATTTAAGGTTCTTATGTCATTTTAATTTAATAACAATGAAAGAGCAAGAGGTCTACCCATGTGTTGGTCTGTGGAATAAAAGTCCACAACTCCAAGATGCCTGCCAGGAATGCATCTTCTATACCACGCCAACATTTTTAAAGTTTAGCCTGCAAACCATTTTTCCATCTTCCACCTTATCTTGCGTATCTTGTTTGTATAGTTTTAAAGAAGTATAAAATACTAACCTAGCAACCCAAATTAGAGGACTGTATGTTGTTCTTGGTAAGCTTGGAGTCAGTAAGCTAAATACAAGATTTCACTCAAAGAGATGGCATGTATTTTCACCGTATCACTTCTCGAGAAATATCCATTGCACCTAAACTTTAAAGTTTTGTATGTTTTGATTCTGCGTTAAATCTCAAGTGCTGTTGCTCCCGGAATCTTTAAAAGAAAAATCAAATGAAACAGTTTGACAGGATTTTTTGAACGAATGTAAAAAAATAAAAAGGGCGGCACTATTCGTAGAGAAAGTTAGCTGGTGTTCAATGTGCTACATACAGTCAAAAGAGGCAGGCATAAAAGTCACTTAGCATCTCTAAGCTGCTCCATTTAGTTACCTTCCATCTCGGTGTGCAGTGCATTGGCCTCCAGTGTCCTCCGGGTAAGTAGGAGTAATTGTCTAGCATCGCCTCAAGCGGGATGAGACTTCCCAACAGGCGATCGTAGCTACCCGTTCCTCCCGTAGAGGGCGTCTGCAGCGAGGGCGCCCTCATTTGTCGGTTGCCCTCTTCCACGAGGTGTAGAATCTTGTCTCTCATATTCCCGAAGACTTGAGATTCTACTGTGGTCATCGGAGTTTCCTCTAGATGCAGTTCTTTGGCTGCACCGGCTGCAGAATTGTGAAAACGACACAACAAAATCGACACAGTTCATTTATAAGTGTTTTACAGACCATCATGTCATACTTGTTTACAACTTGGCATGTTATGGTCACGTGATGCCGATTTACACCCTTCTGATTACTGCATTTTTATAAAATTATTTATGTGATTTTGAAAAGTATTGGTTGCTGATTTTTCTGTGGGAAATCATGAAGCATTAGGCCTATGTCACAATTTCAAAACTTTTGTTTTGTAATTAAGTTGAGAAGTTGAGTACATCTTAATTTGTGATCCTTGTCAAGTTACTTACAGAGGTTCGGTATCTTCTTCAGCTCTGGACAAGTTTTTCTTGAATCTCCTAGAAGTTGTGTTGCTTTAGCGCTTCCTGAAGGGTTAGCTGGCGAAGTATTTTGGCCTCCACTTGGCAATTTGGCCGGTGATATATTTTGGACTCCACTTGGATATTTGGCTGGTGAAGTATTTTGAACTCCAGTTGGAATTTTGGCCGGTGACGCATTTTGGACTCCACCCGGATATGTATTTTGGACTCCACTTGGCAATTTGGCTGGTGATGTATTTTGAACTCCAGTTGGAATTTTGGCCGGTGACGCATTTTGGACTCCACCCGGATATGTATTTTGGACTCCACTTGGCAATTTGGCTGGTGATATATTTTGGACTCCACTTGGAATTTTGGCCGGTGATATATACGGTGCACCACTTGGCAATTTGGCCGGTGATATATTTTGGACTCCACTAGGAATGTTGACCGGTGATATATTTTGGACTCCACTTGGAAGTTTGGCTGGTGATATATTTTGGACTCCACTAGGAATGTTGACCGGTGATATATTTTGGACCCCACTTGGCAATTTGGCCGGTGATATATTTTGGACTCCACTAGGAATGTTGACCGGTGATATATTTTGGACCCCACTTGGCAATTTGGCCGGTGATATATTTTGGACTCCACTAGGAATGTTGACCGGTGATATATTTTGGACTCCACTTGGAAGTTTGGCTGGTGATATATTTTGGACTCCACTAGGAATGTTGACCGGTGATATATTTTGGACCCCACTTGGCAATTTGGCCGGTGATATATTTTGGACTCCACTAGGAATGTTGACCGGTGATATATTTTGGACCCCACTTGGCAATTTGGCCGGTGATATATTTTGGACTCCACTAGGAATGTTGACCGGTGATATATTTTGGACTCCACTTGTCAATTTGGCTGTTGATGTATTTTGCACTCCACTCGGATGGTTAAGCGGTGGTGCTATTCTGTCTGTTGGTTTGTTGGTTGCTGCTGGGTTCTTCAACACCTGTCTAGCTATATCACCACGGTCCGTGGTCGCTGGAATCAAAATCACAAACTAATAGTTATCTTGTTCGAAATTTAAAATTAATCACTCGCAAAACCATATAATATTTCATGGCCCTTAAAAGTAATTTTAGCGTGTGTACTTGTTCTGTTATTCAATGAGGAACTGCAAATTAATTTACAGTGTGTAAACCCTGAATAGGCCTATTTTTTTTTCATTAAAAGAAGTAAGATTTACTTTTAACTGTGATTCTGGGTTGAAGTTTTTGAGCCTTTAACACATGTTGGGTTTAATAAACCGTTTCCAACACAACCCTCGGTAAAAATCGTCCTCTTTGAAAATCCGGAGGCCTTTTGTAAAATGCTGATAAACATTCGACAAGATGTATACGATATAGAATTTATACGGAATTCAAAAAAAAAATGAAAATGTATCTCACCTGTAGGTGTTGTATTCCTGATGACGCCACTGTTGATATAATAGAGTGCAAACGTGGTCGTACAAACGACAGTTAAGGCCATCAGTCTAAAGAAGGTTTGTAGAGACAGGTTTCTGAGCGGCCCCGCGGATTTCACGGAGGACGGATGCGACCGGCCTGCGCCGCCGAACACTCGCCCGCCTGGTCTCCCATGAGATGAGACTGAATCATCCGGACTGAATATATCTGGTAGATCGATCGATGATGACGATTTCATATCCATGAAACCTGTCTCAGTTCTCCGCGGATACTCCTGAACGTCCTGCTTGTGGTGAAACTGTAAATGTATAAATACATGTACATGTACAAGGGCATACTCTCAGCAGTCATATACCGCCGACCTCACCCTTTTGTTCAGGTTAATTCTTTTCCATTGAATTCCCACTGAATGAAATTGGTTATGCATCAGTGAGCCCGATTATATTGCCTTTTCTATGCACTATGGTGCGAGGGGCATATGCACACGGATTTTTCTAGTTTATGATACACGCAAGGATAGATGTTTTACATGCGAAAAGCAGTGCCGGGTTTTTTTTTTGGGGGGGGGGTTGTTTTTTTCATTTTTTTTTTTGCTGTAGTATACATTCCATACGTATCGTTTATTATTCTAAAGTTTCGATGGAAGTGCTTATTTTTAAATTAATTCAACGCAGCTCTTTTGGTTAAAAATACGTCTGACAACGAAGTTTTCCTAATATAATCGGAATTTGTTATTTTGCACTGTCCCATCTATAGCTGACAGAGATATGCCATGGCCCACGGCACGTACTGTGCAATGTAATTTGTTTATGCAGTCCTTGAAAATGCACCTTTGTGTCCCATTTAACCTTATTTTTAATTTTCGTATTGCCATTTTCAAGGGTAGTTTGGTGCCTTTTTGTTTTTATTACAATGCAAATTTCTATATACATGAGCAAAACTGTGATGTCATTCCGGGCAGAAACCTCAATGTTATGAGCACGAAAAGTTACGAGAATGTTGAGTATTTTACTGTCGTAAATTTCTTCTCTTTGGTGCTTCGTTGTTGTGTCTGTAGATGGCAGTAGACAAGTGAGCAAACTTTTCTCAGAAATGTTGTCAACAGCTATAGAAACTTTTGGTGACGCCATAAGGTCAAAGGGCACAGAGCAACTCACAATGAACTGCAATATACACAGAAAAAAGGGGTCTACCCGATGTTCCCCAATACCGATGTTCCCCGAAATCCTTACGGGTTAGGGTCAGGTTTAGGCTTGGGGAACAACGGTATGCGGGGCACATCGGTATAGGGGAACATATGTACGGTACCCAACCGAAAACGTTTATTGCACTGGTTTAACGGCAAGCTGATCTTTTGTTGTGATCCACAAAGCTGAATACGATCAACGTGAATAGTTCACACAGGCACAAAGTACAGTCGGTCCTTTTTATAGCTCCGTACTATGGTCTTGACAACTACGGATCAGCAAACATGGGCAAACTATGGAAGGCCCAATTTCGCAAAAATGAATGATAGTCATCGGATTCCAAAAAAAGTATCGGATTATTGAAAATTAATAACCGACAAATGCTAACAAAAACCCCAACTTTTTCTTACATAAATGAGGGTGTTAAAATAAAATTCTGGTATAATCTGTTACCAACCACGGCTTAAAAAGATGCTTAAGGGACCCTGAAACACATTTCAATGCGATATATGGACTGATAAGCTTTTAAAGACAAAATTTCGACGAATATTTGGGGTAAAATCACTGAAAAGTGGGGTTTTTTTAATCAGTGAATTTTGCTCAAATCTTCAAAATATTGGGTGTTTGCATGTTTATTGATGCTCCTCTTACCTTCCAACGAATTTCTACAAAGTCTGGAGAAAATTCATTTTTTGGCAAAATTTCATAAAAAAGTAAGGCTAACCCCTTGCCTTTTTTCAATTTTTGGCCAAAAAATGAAATTATTTCAATTTGCTTGGAAAGATGCTGAAGGGACCCTGAAACACATTCCAATCCGAAATATTGACAGATAAGCGTTTTTAGACAAAGATTCTGCAATGTTGGGAGAAAAGTCGTTTTTGGCCAAATTTCATCAAAAATGTAAGGCTAACCCCTTGCTGTTTTTCAATTTTGACCAAAAAATGAAGTTGTTTCAAATTTGCTTGAAAAGATGCTTAAGGGACCCTGAAAAAATGAAATTGCTCCAATCTCCATGGAAAGACTCCTAAAGGCCCCTCGAACACATTTCATCTCGATTTAGGGACAAATATGTCAATTAAAAGAAATTCATATTTTGGCCAAATTTCATTAAAAATGTAAGGCTAACCCCTTGCAATTTTTGTCAATTTTGGTCAAAAAATGAAATTGCTCCAAAATTCCTAGAAAAACTCCTAAGGGCCCCTTGAACACATTCCAACTCATTTAGGGACAGATATATCAATACAAAGAAATTCATATTTTGGCCAAATTTCATAAAAAATGTAAGGCTAACCCCTTGCAATTTTTGTCAATTTTGGTCAAAAAATGAAATTGCTCCAAACTCCATGGAAAGACTCCTTAAGGCCCCTCGAACACATTTTATCTCGATTTAGGGACAAATATGTCAATTAAAAGAAATTCATATTTTGGCCAAATTTCATAAAAAATGTAAGGCTAACCCCTTGCAATTTTTGTCAATTTTGGTCAAAAAATAAAATTGCTCCAAACTCCATGGAAAGCCTCCTAAGGGCCCCTCGAACACATTCCAACTCGATTTAGGGACAGATATATCAATACAAAGAAATTCATATTTTGGCCAAATTTCATAAAAAATGTAAGGCTAACCCCTTGCAATTTTTGTAAATTTTGGTCAAAAAATGAAATTGCTCCAAACTCCATGGAAAGCCTCCTAAGGGCCCCTCGAACACATTCCAACTCGATTTAGGGACAGATATATCAATACAAAGAAATTCATATTTTGGCCAAATTTCATAAAAATGTAAGGCTAACCCCTTGCAATTTTTGTCAATTTTGGTCAAAAAAATGAAATTGCTCCAAACTCCATGGAAAGACTCCTAAAGGCCCCTCGAACACATTCCAACTCATTTAGGGAAAAGATATATCAATACAAAGAAATTCGTATTTTGGCCAAATTTCATAAAAAATGTAAGGCTAACCCCTTGCAAGTTTTGTCAGTTTTGGTCAAAAAATTAAATTGCTCCAAACTTCATGGAAAGCCTCCTAAGGGCCCCTTGAACACATTCCAACTCGATTTAGGGACAGATATATCAATACAAAGAAATTCATATCTTGGCCAAATTTCATAAAAAATGTAAGGCTAACCCCTTGCAATTTTTGTCAATTTTTGTCAAAAAATGAAATTGCTCCAAACTCCATGGAAAGACTCCTTAAGGCCCCTCGAACACATTTCATCTCGATTTAGGGACAGATATATCAATACAAAGAAATTCATATTTTGGCCAAATCTATTAAAAATGTAAGGCTAACCCCTTGCAATTTTTGTCAATTTTGGCAAAAAAATGAAATTGCTCCAATCTTCATAGAAAGCCTCCTAAGGGCCCCTTGAACACATTCCAACTCGATTTAGGGACAGATATATCAATACAAAGAAATTCATATTTTGGCCAAATTTCATAAAAAATGTAAGGCTAACCCCTTGCAATTTTTGTCAATTTTGGTCAAAAAATGAAATTGCTCCAACTCCATGGAAAGACTCCTAAAGGCCCCTCGAACACATTTCATCTCGATTTAGGGACAGATACATCAATACAAAGAAATTCATATTTTGGCCAAATTTCAAAAAAAATGTAAGGCTAACCCCTTGCAATTTTTGCCAATTTTTGTCAAAAAATGAAATTGCTCCAAACTCCATGGAAAGCCTCCTAAGGGCCCCTCGAACACATTCCAACTCGATTTAGGGAAAGATACATCAATACAAAGAAATTCATATTTTGGCCAAATTTCATAAAAAATGTAAGGCTAACCCCTTGCAATTTTTGACAATTTTGGTCAAAAAATGAAATTGCTCCAAACTCCATGGAAAGCCTCCTAAGGGCCCCTCGAACACATTCCAACTCGATTTAGGGACAGATATATCAATACAAAGCAATTCATATTTTGGCCAAATTTCATAAAAAAATGTAAGGCTAACCCCTTGCAATTTTTGTCAATTTTTGTCAAAAAATGAAATTGCTCCAAACTCCATGGAAAGACTCCTTAAGGCCCCTCGAACACATTTCATCTCGATTTAGGGACAGATATATCAATACAAAGAAATTCATATTTTGGCCAAATCTATTAAAAATGTAAGGCTAACCCCTTGCAATTTTTGTCAATTTTTGTCAAAAAATGAAATTGCTCCAAACTCCATGGAAAGACTCCTAAAGGCCCCTCGAACACATTTCATCTCGATTTAGGGACAGATACATCAATACAAAGAAATTCATATTTTGGCCAAATTTCATAAAAAATGTAAGGCTAACCCCTTGCAATTTTTGTCAATTTTTGTCAAAAAATGAAATAGCTCCAAACACCATGGAAAGACTCCTTAAGGCCCCTCGAACACATTTCATCTCGATTTAGGGACAGATATATAAATACAAAGAAATTCATATTTTGGCCAAATTTCATAAAAAATGTAAGGCTAACCCCTTGCAATTTTTGTCAATTTTGGTCAAAAAATGAAATTGCTCCAAACTCCAGGGAAAGACTCCTAAAGGCCCCTCGAACACATTTCATCTCCATTTAGGGACAGATATATCAATACAAAGAAATTCATATTTTGGCCAAATTTCATAAAAAATGTAAAGCTAACCCCTTGCAATTTTTGTCAATTTTGGTCAAAAAATGAAATTGCTCCAAACTCCATGGAAAGCCTCCTAAGGGCCCCTCGAACACATTCCAACTCGATTTAGGGACAGACATATCAATACAAAGAAATTCATATTTTGGCCAAATTTCATAAAAAATGTAAGGCTAACCCCTTGCAATTTTTGTCAATTTTGGTCAGAAAATGAAATTGCTCCAAACTCCATGGAAAGACTCCTAAAGGCCCCTCGAACACATTTCATCTCGATTTAGGGACAGATACATCAATACAAAGAAATTCATATTTTGGCCAAATTTCATAAAAAATGTAAGGCTAACCCCTTGCAATTTTTGTCAATTTTTGTCAAAAATGAAATTGCTCCAAACTCCATGGAAAGACTCCTTAAGGCCCCTCGAACACATTTCATCTCGATTTAGGGACAGATATATAAATACAAAGAAATTCATATTTTGGCCAAATTTCATAAAAAATGTAAGGCTAACCCCTTGCAATTTTTGTCAATTTTGGTCAAAAAATGAAATTGCTCCAAACTCCATGGAAAGACTCCTAAAGGCCCCTCGAACACATTTCAT